CCTCCCAAAACCCTAAACACCTCCCAAAACCCTGAAAACACCAAACCCTAAACACCCTAAACCCTACAAACCCACTAAACCCTAAAGACCCCGTAAACCCTAAAAACCCCCTAAACCCTAAAAACCCACTAAACCCTAAAGACCACCTAAAACCTAAAAACACACCAAAACCCTAAAACCCCCAAAACCTGAAAACCCTAAACCCTGAAAACCCTAAACCCTAAAAATCCTAAACACTAAAAACCCTAAACCCTAAAAAACACAAACACTAAAAACCACCTAAACCCTAAAAACCCTAAACCCTAAATACCTACCAAACCCATAAACGTCCTAAACTCTAAAAACCTCCCAAAACCCTAAAAACCCCAAACCCTAAACACCCTAAACCCGGAACACCCTAAATCCTAAACATCCTCAAAAATAAAAGCTTCAAACCCTTAAAACCTCAACCCTTAAAACCTCCTAAACCCTAAAAACCACAAACACTAAAAACCTTAAACCTTCAAAAACCCTAAACCCTACAACAACCCTCAACTCTAAAACCCCTAAACCCTAGAAAACCTACTAAACCCTAAACCTACACCCTGAAACCACCCAAGCCCCAAAAACCCTAAACCCTGAGAACCCTAAATCCTAAAAATCCTTAACACTAAAAACCCTAAACCCTGAAACCCCTAAACCTTAACAAATCACCTAAAGATATTTTAACAAATAAACACTTGGAAAACACTAAACGCCAGCAACCCTAAACCCTAAAAACCCTTAACCCTAAAAGTCCTAAATCCTACAAACCCTAAAACCCAAAAAACACCTAAACCCTAGAAACCCTAAACCCTAAAAAAGCAATTTAACCCTCCTAAACCTTAAAAACCTCCCAAAACCCTAAACACCTCCCAAAACCCTGAAAACACCAAACCCTAAACACCCTAAACCCTACAAACCCACCAAACCCTAAAGACCCCGTAAACCCTAAAAACCCACTAAACCCTAAAAACCACCTAAACCCTAAAAACTTGATAATCAATCGACGCAGAAGAATGCTAGTGCTCTCACCTTTTTATCGGAGTGGCGAAATCCCAGCGTATCCCGAGAGCCGACTCCTGCCTTTGGCAGGCCAGCTCCCTAGCGTAGCCACTTCGGGTTACCAGGGATTTAGCTTACGGGACTTGCCAAACCTCCTCACGGGTCCCCGCCCGCGAGACTCCTTCCTAGCCGATAGCTCGTTGTAGTAGCCATCCGCGTGGCCCAACAACTTATCCAGAACACGCCACTTCAGTTCCACCCCCTTCAAGGGTATCCGGAACTCGGCGTCAAAGCTATCAAATTTCTCATTGGTGAGGTCATCCGCTAGCTGGTTGAGATCTCGGCGTATCCAAGTGAGCTGCATATCGCATCTCTTGGCGGATAGCTCCTCCGCCATCTCCATGAGTATCAAGCAAGATGGAAACTTGGCGGTCATTGACCGCTTTATCAAAGCCTCATTCGATTGATTATTATCAGTGTAGCCACGTATGGCCATCCTCGTGGCCTGTCGGCTATCGGACTCTGGGACCCAGAGTTTGATGGCTATCAAAGTGGCCAGCAATTCCAATGCCTTTGGTCACGACCCTGGGAGACTGGATAACAGCCCAGGACTTGGCCCGTCCAGGTCTCCTCGACATGGCCGAGGGGCAACCCTTCAAACTACGACGACCGCGCAACGCAGCGAGTCAGCCTCCTCACGTGAGGCGACCGAAGCCCGGCCCACCATCACGGAGGGAACAAGCTTGCTGCCTTGGCCGCGCTGAGGGCTGCATCTGAATGTGAACACAGACGCCTTCGTTGCATGAGGAAGACCCTGCATCCACACGCAGCAGTCCCACACGCAAGTCTACCCCTACTCTAGGGGCCTTCCGCTGCGGGACCCAGCAACCTCATAGATTGCCTCGCTATCCACAAGGTGGATAAGAGCAGTATTGCCCTGTCCCAGGCGCGCGAGGCGATTCAGGAGACGCCTTGCCAAGTGCCAGAGGACAAAGCACGATGAGCCCGGCCGCAATGGCCAAGCCAACAACGGCGCGAAGCACTCACCCCGGCTTCCTCTAGCGGCGGCGGTAACGCCACATGGTCTCTTCGACCAAGACGCGGCTACCTCTATGGAAGTCCCACAGCAAGGGGGCCAGCGCAGCTGCGCACAGCACGCAGACCGGTGAGAAGGCGTGCAAGGCGGTTCCTCACCGTCCTGGCGAGGGCCCAGCAATAGGCAACCACCCCGCCGCGAAGCACACGAGGTCTGGTACTTGCCGGCGCCCGACGGGGCTGGCAAAGAGTCAGCGCGGACTTCCGCAGCGCCGTTGCCTCAGGCGGCCGTGGACCGCTCAGTGGAGCCGGATGGCGGGCGCAGCAAAGACAAGCGAGATTACAGTCTCCGCTTGGTCACTTCTCTGGACCAAAAGCACGAACGGGACCTGGGGCCACGAGCCTCCTTTCCATTCCTTGGAGCGTCGTGGATTTGCCACTTTTACGACCGCGTAAACAATCCCAACGCTGATGAGAGCCGCTTCCTCGGCGTGCTCACACGGCACCGCCGCACCATCAACACAGCGACGTGCGACAAGGCTCGCAGCACCTGACCGCCGCGGCTGCCACAGCACGCTTCTTGCCCTTGCGCTCTGCAGTCTGCGTATAGCGCGAGGGTCCTCGGGTCCGGCGGACTGTGCGTCCAGCCAGGACTGAGGCGCAGTTTAGAAGGGTCTACAGGAGCGTAGCCCTTCGGACTCCATGTCTCCCGCGGTAGGGACTATTGCTTCGCCCTTCAGACTGATGAGCACGTGAAGGCGCCCTCTCGATCCTGCCTGAGCAGACCGGCCACTTGTCAGGCCTTCGACGAAGGCCCCAGTAAGGGTCTCTTGTCTTCACGGCAAGCTTTGGTCTGGTCCGCATTGAGAGGCTCGGTGGGTAGCTCTTGCATGAGCTGGCGGGCGGCCTGCATTGGGAAGCCATCACCCGGCCGCGTGGCCAGCACCTGTGGGATGTCGGCAAGACACCCCAAAAGCGCAGGGCGGGCAAATGCTGCTGCAGTTCCGCGTCGGGCGGCAAAGGTGCCGGGCGCTGCGGCTGACATGTCGTGGGCTTCTTGGGCCAGACGCCGCCCCCTCTAGAGACGGTTTGAGCCAAAGTGGCCATGAAGGGGGCAGTCACGCCTCTCGTCGACCCTGCTAAAGAACATCACCGTGACTGTTGGTTTCCCACAAAATGAACCGTCCCAAGGCGGCCCCGAGCCACAGGCCTTCCTGAGGCGGGCCCGCACCAACAACATTACCGAGCTGGCGGCCGCCACTGGCAAAGGTGATCGAGTTCGAACAGGCCGGGCCAGGCTACCGGCGGACTATTTCTTCGTCCGTTGCCTTTTGGCTGGGATGGTGACTGTAGCATTGTGTGTCAGGCAACGCCTGCAAGGGGCGGGGCCATTGCTTGCGGCCGATCATGCAGGCGGCTCTCGCCACCTGGGCGGCATCTTCGCACACCGCATGCTTGCTGCAGCTCACATGTTGCCACTGTACCGCATGTTACCGCCTGTTGCTTGCACCTGCTTGCTTGTACCGCAGCCCCTTTGCGGAGGATGTGGTCAGGGGCGGCGCAATATTCTGGGAGGCTATCTTCCTGCGCCCGCTGGGCTGCGAGCGCACGCTCCCGCAGGCGAGGAGCTGATTGCAGTAGTAAGTACGGGCATCCACGCCCAAAGCCACGGCTTCACGGCGGTGGACTTCATTCATGAACCGCCTGGATGGCGGGCGCGTCCAGGTAGATGGCGGTGTAGGCTGTGTAGAACCCTGGACAGCAACTGTCTGGGGCCGCCCCCGTGCGGCGGTGCGGGCTGCGCCCAGCCCCACCCCTAAGGCGGCGGGGTAGTGTCCGTGGCCATCAAAGATGGCGGGGCCAGAGAGCTGCACCTTCTTAGGCGGTCTCGCCAGGCATGCCGGTCTGCCGCGGTCTGGCACGGCCCGGCGGTGTCCACCTGGTCGGCGGTGGTCAGCTGTTTGAGTGCTGCGCCATGGTGCCGGCGTTGCCCGGGCCCGCAAGTGACGGGCTCTTAGGCAAGGCCTTGCCTCGGATTTTGCTCGCCCCTCTCTTTCTGGAGCCGTGGTCGAAGACATAGTCAGCGCGAACACCGTAGAGGTCCCAGTCGGTGTAGGCTCGCCGCCAGTCGAGGAAGTCATGGGCGGTGATGTAATGTCCGCCCCGATCGTCCCCTTGACGGGGACACCGGTGTCGTCCACTGCAGCGGATGCGCTGTCCTCCGCCTCCAGGAAGGCAGTGCTAGCGGCGGTCGGCTTTGATGGTTCTCGGGACCGCCCAGGAAGGCGGCGGTCGAGCCATCCTGGTTCGCCCCAGCTGTCCAAATGGGCTCAGCGGTCAAAGTTGATGCCGCCCCCATGGGCGATGATGCCTGACCGGTGGCAGCTGCCAGGCGGTGTGGCGAAAGCGTCCATCGCCCGCTGCAGGCGGTTACGCTGACGCCTGCAAAGCGTCGACACCGCCATCTCCAGAGGGACGGTGCCCTCGTTGATGACAGGGCGGTGGCAGCAGCGCTGAAGTGATAGCCCGCCATAGCTCAGAAGGCGGTCTAAACTGGAAGCTCAAAAGGCGGTTAGAGCTAACAAGCGGCTGCGGTAGGCCGCCCGTTTGCTCCATGTTACAACATGCACACGTGCATTGTAGGCCAAATGGTCGAGGGCAAAACTCTCAGCCTGTATGGCCCTGCCATGCACTGTGTGTGGCGATTTCGGGGATTTGGGCGTGCATGCCAGTCATCATGTTACCGTGCATGAGCACACTTTGCGATGCTCCCACTGTAGAGCTGCGCAGACGATCTCCTCTTTTGTGCAGCGTAGGGGACTGTTGTGCAGGGAGTGTGTTGCTTGAAGTAATCGAATAGGGCTTCGCAATGTTCAAAAAAATGCTCCAGTCGCGTCTATACTTCCTTGCTTCACGGTCGGCAGCATGAGCAGGGTCTGAAGCTCAGGGGCAAAGAGATGGAGCAAATCCAGAACGCATGCTTCAGGAAGAGCCGTAAAGTATTGGTCTGAGCTTGACATCAAGAATGGTACTGGAAGCATGAAGGAAATATGGATACGTGCTGTGTGGCTGGACATGGGCCAGGACCCTCCCTCAACGAGCCTTGTCGTAGTGCTGCATGATTAGAGCAGAGTCCTGTGACTCCACCACTTCATGCAATGCAGCCGGCGACTTTCATTGCAGACCGAATTGCGCCTGCTCAACCTGCTTGGACAAAGCTACGCCAACCTGTAGATCAAAAACCAAACCGCGGCACTTGTGAGGCAGGTTGGATATTTGCTGTCCAAACCTTGCTGATTCTTGAAGTTCTGCTTGATAGCACTCAAATGACACTCCGAGGCTCCCGGCTCTGATCAAAAGCTCTCCGTGGCGCACTGAATCAGCGCATCCCGTTGCCATGCAAAACCGCAAGGAGACCTGTGCTGCACACATCTGAACTTGGCACCATCACCTCACCACCACCTTACGTCGCTGCCTTCCAGACTTCCAGCTCAAGTTCTACGTTGTTCATGGAAATAGCACCCTGCAACAAGTCAACGAAGTCAACGAAAATCCATCATGCTGGCAAATGCTAGCAATCCTGTTTTAACAGCGAGCTTTGCTGGGCTTCGAGCTAAGCCCATCGTCTTGAGTGGCTCGGTGAATTCTGAGACCTGATTGAGTAGCTGCTCCACCTGCCAGAGGCTGCCAGAGATCAAAGACCCCCGAGTGATCAGGTTTTTGCTGTGCCTCCCACTGGCCAAGGGATTCGATGATGGACAAACATTCCTCACAGTGACGATGGGTTTCTTTTGAGCTCTTCCACCTTAAGACACCCAATTCAGCTCCTCATACACGGCCAGCTTCTCATTCAGTGCCCACAGACTGAAGCAGCATTGGAGCATGCTGGCAAAAGAATTTTCGTTCCCTACATCCAACTGAAATTGCATCTGTACAGGCCTGTTCTGCGAGTCCATGGTCGCTGCCATGTCAGACAAGATCTCCACTGCCATCAGTGATGGGAAATGTCCAACCTCTTGTTCTAGAGCCTCCCGACCGCACCAGGTATGTGGGAAAGGTCGACCGTGTACCCTGTCGCATGCACGACGGCAACGGCCACGTTTGGGCCTGTCGAGCCCAATGCAGGGCAACAAGCGCTTTCCCATCCTGCCGCGACAGCTTGTCACCAAAATCTAGCCACATGGAGCCACGGCTTTCGTTTGCCTCATGTCGGTTGCGATGCCAGCGTCCCAGCTGGTGAAGGAGCTTGATGCTTTCCTTGGCCCTGCAAATGACGCCATTAATGTGTCTTGCAGAGCATTCTAGTCCTTGCCTGATCTCCACGAGCGGTCTTCGCTCTCCTCTCCACTCAGCTCAAAACACCATGGAAGTCTAAATGGAAGCATCTAAGACTCATGTGCCGCATCCTGCCTGGAAAGAAGCGCCTGGGCATGGGGACTTGAGGGGAATTGTGCAATCCAAGCCTGTAACTAGCTTGTCTCCTCTGCCGTTCATGTGTGTCGAAGCAAATCAAGCTCATGAGTACGATTGGCATAGTTATCGCAAAAGCTATCTCTCGAGCTGACGGCGTTTTCTTCTGAGACTTATCCGCAGCTAGTAGAATGTCAATCAGACTCAGTTGGCTCCCAGGAAGTGGCTTGGATCCATTTCCAGCTCAACGCCAAGAAGGTATCCTAAGACATCCAAAGACAACCCGGCCTGGATCTCATGACAAAAGGTTTTCGGATTCCTTGACTTCTGTCGGAAGGGCTTGGGCATGGCTCTTCTGCAACCTCTCCTACCTCTGGCCCTCACGGGCGGGAAGATCGAGGCGTTGCTGCAACTGACTGGGAGGAATCTCGCCAGCATTTTCTTGGGGGTTGACCTTCTGCAATAAGGAGACCATTTCAGAAGAGCTTTGGCTGGTCACGCCCTGGCAGCACAAGCCCGGTCCTGCCTTGAGGCCTACTCGCAGTGCTGAAGGACAGCAGGCTCTGTAAGACCCATCTTGGTTTCATGTGAGTTCGGGGGGGTGCACGAAGCTTTGTAAGGATGAGATGCAGAAAGTTGAAGGTGTTTTGCTTTTCGTGTAGAACATGAACCAGAAAGCTTGGATATCTAAGATTTCTCAGATACACATGAATTTAGAACCCTCAGGGGTCCCAAGCAAGGAAACTACAGAGTACATTATCTGCCAAGCCGGAAGGCCTGGGGCGTTTAGATCAAAGGACTCCGTACCAGGAACAGGTTAACCACCCCATGCCACCCCCCAAGCCACCTTTCAGGACGCACAACCCTGAAGTTTGAGCTTCATTGGGTGTTTTTGTTCTCTAGGAGTCTGGTCATTTTGGGGGTTTGGCCTAGGGTCTGGGTTGATTGCGGGGCTCGCATTCCTCCAGGTCCTGAAGCTCGTCCCACCGCGACCGCGGCAATTTAGCGTTTCTTCTTCCGACTCTCTGCTCCTACCCCTCACACTCGCTTAATAAAGGATCCGCTTCAGGATTGCAAAGTTTGGGAGCCCTTTTCAAGATGACTGATTCATCTACTCTCGCGACAGAATGCTGCCTGCTAGTATCCATGCCCAGCCTGAATACCAGCAAGGTGAGCACCACAACGGTCGTGAGCCACAGAGGCAGCACCCATCTGCAGTAGGCAGCACATAGGATGATCTACACTGTCCTTTTCATTCCTACAGACCTCACTCGGGAGCTGCGCGGATGTGCCTCAACTTTGTGTCCTGCTCATAATGTGCACGCTGTCTGCCAACAAGCACCTGTAGAAAGCCGGAATCCCACACCTGTGGACGTGGAAAGTCCGTTCGTTCCGGCCGCTTTTGCCTTTGCATGGCGCATGGCCCGCTCCAGACGAAGAGCATCGGAGACAGCATGCGTGTGTACTTCTGCCAGTGGTCCTTCTATGTCCCGCAAAACCCGCTATCGAAAACCTATCCCTAGCTTCTAGCTTAGCTAGACGCTCACAGAGAATCCTGCATAGGGGGTCATCACTGGTAGGTACTACTGTATGCCATTACATTACGTCTTGAAAGCAAGGTGGATGGTTTGAGCCAGATGCGAGGCTAGACTGGAAAAAGGGCTACATTACATTGGAAGGCTTGACGCATCTGCGCGAAGTCTCTGACAAGCTCCGTTTTGTAAATGCAAAGCATAATGAAACACAGAGCTTTCCAAAGCCTTCAGCTGCATAAGAGATACGCACAAGAAGGCATTGGGCTGAGCACCTACAGAATCAGAGCAATGCCCTAACACATTGCTATCTGGACTCTGCAGTCTGGCCACGAAAGACCAGAGAGGACCTTCTCGTGTTGCACAAGGAGGATCTCCCAGCTTGAAAGGCGGACGTCACAATGAGCACACGTGCGCTTGCCCGGATTCACCATAGCGGGAATGTAAAGAAATGAATTGATGAACTGCAACAACTTCTAGCAAGCAAGCACGCCGTGTCCGTTCAGTACATTGTGAGCAAAACAGGCAAGACCCTGCAAGTTCTGGCAAGTTCGTGTCACATTGTTTTTTCTTAGACAGTGATGATATGTAAAAAAGTTTAAGCGGCAGTGTCGTTGCTCACACGGCACTGCGCGTCAGTCTTCTCAGCCCAATCGCCACAAGCTCCTGCAAAAAGGCCGCTCTGGCAGCATGATACCAAGCTCTCAGCGCGGGCTATGGAGGACGGAAACCTTATCCATGTCTCCTTCAGAGTACAGCAGCCTCACGGCAGGGTGTCAAGTCCTTTCTGCCTAGCAAGGCAACATACGGCCAATGATAATCTCTGAACGGCAAGGGGAGCGTACCATACACATAATTCTATGGTGCTGGACTGGGTATGCCCGACACGTCTGCCTGCTCTCCCCGAGGGCAGCCTGTCACTCTGTTCAAAACCACCGCCTTGCTTCAGCCAAAAGATGTTTGATTCATACGCGCAACTGAGCTGAGCTTGCAGCTTTCCACTCATCGTTTGGCAGGCTTCTTGATCTTAGCAGAGCATCGATGTTGATCATTGACATGGGCCGACAAGCTGACAGACACACATTTAGCCAAGACGCCACGGCCTTTGCTTTGGCCTCTCCCAAAGCAAATGTGCTGAGGATTGCTGCAGCCAAGCGCATTCGTCTGCGTGTTCTGTGTTGACTCGTTTCGCTCACGCCGGCAAGATTGGTCATCGGGTGTGAAATAAGTTCGGCTCAAGCTGCAGCCTACTCAGGGACATCCCAGTCGTCATGTAAAGCTGCCATAGCCTCTGTCGATACATCTTGCTGCTGGTTCGCAGTCTCCTCGGCATCACAGCGGAACTTTTCACGGACAGCACCTCGTCCCTGCACATCGCATACGTTTCAGTTTGAGCCCTTCTTCTCGATGTCCCTATTGAGCTGGAAGTCTTCGTGGTTCTCGCAAGAGGGAAACACGTGCTGCATGATCTCGTCCATGGCCATGAAAGATGTTTGATCGATCCATCGGCGGCTCTGGTATTACAGAGGTCGGTCTCTGTGTCCAGAGGATGTCCTGCTCAGAGAGCCCGAGATCCCCGTGCCGCCGGTTCCAGATCTTGAGGGAGAGCGCAGCCCAGTTCGCTCCGCAATTCCGGAAGCATCACTCCTGGCTCCGCAGGACGAGCTCCGCTGCCTCTCTGCAATGGCGGCCCTCATGTACCGAGGAGCCCTAAGAGAAGCCAGGCTCCCTAGACTCCCCGCGCCAGCTCCATCATCCACAACTGGACCTCGCATCGGTCTGTGAGGGGAAACCCGCTTTGCACGCTGAGAGACACTGGTGGATACAGATGAGCATCTGTCACTCTCGTCGATGCCATCTATCCGACTGTAGGCAAAACTGCAGCGGCACACTGGACAAAGACCCTCAACCCAATAGGGCATCAGACACTCTATGAGAAACACATGATCGCACCGACGTGGCCTCACGCGTACTGCTCCTGGGGGTATGCTGTGCCCTGATGCACAGCAGGCATCATACTTCTCACTGGCAAAGACCACCACATCTCCAAGGGATTGCAGCCGGGCTTTCAAGGCTTGCTGGGTCTCCTCATCAAGGGGTCCCAAAGAAGCAAACTGAGATGGACCTGATGTGTCCGGCTTCATTACTACACCTTGTGACGGAGGACTCTGAGAATCATTGGAGAGGCGTAGCATGCTTTCGGACAAGGACTGAGCCCTTGAGAAGAGGTCTGCGTGCAGCTGCTGAAACTCGCGGACGAGCTTTTCAAGTTCCATCGTTTTGGCCACGACTTCGCGCTTCAAGGCGCTAGCACTTGCGGCTGTCGATGAGCCCCGAGACTGTAGCTGCGCCAGCTGGGACTGAAGCAACTGGTTTTGACCTGGGAAACGATATTTTCATCCAGCAGCGATACAGAAATTGCAAACCAAAAAAGGACGCCAAAACAGCGAGCCCTTGAAATCAGAATTCAGCACAAAGCGCTTGCTACTCCGGCCACTTGTTCGGCCAGGTCAGCCACCCGGCTCTGACGGCGCTGCTGCTCCTCCCGGATCTGCTCCCGCAGTGCCTCGGCCTCTCTTGCGAGTCGCTCCAGCTCCAGGCTCCTACAGGCCATGCCAGAGTGGCTAGAGTCTGACAACAGTACAAGACAACAGTCATCCACAGTTCACGCAATGCTTTCGCTTCATCTACCCTTGCACTCAGAACCCTGTTACACTATGTCCTGTGCCGCAGCTCATCAGACAAGCGGGTGTTCTCCTCTTCCAAGATTCCCTCGCTCTCTGCTTGCCAGGATTGCGCGCCTGAAGCCACCACACGGCCGGAAGGAGGATGCTCGGCTTGCCTCCAGTCACGGGGTTGCAGGTGAGGCAGCCCGGATGGCCCCTGTGAGTCCGCAAGGGAGTGCAAGGAATGGGCTGTGGGCAACATGGCTGCAGGGAAAGGAAACATTGACAACCGCTTTGTGATTGCAGCCACAAGCACATGCGCATGCCTGAAGGGCAAGTGCCGCACCTTGGCTTTTGCCTTTGCCTTGGGCGCAGCCTTGGCTTTGGCCTTTGCCTTTGCCTTCGCTTTTGCTTTTGCTTTTGGCGCCGCCTTGTGCACTCGGAGCATGGCTCAACTGGCATTGCTTTCAGCAGGGCGGTGCCTTGGCCTTAGCCTTCGCTTTGGCCTTTGGGGATGCCTACGGTCAAAGACTGAGCACTTCAGGCACAGCACACCCGGCAGGAGAGCCTTTGCTTTGGCTTTTGCTTTAGCCTTTGCCTTCGCCTTAGCCTTGGGCGTTGCCTCAGACGTTTGACAGTGCTGAAGCTGGCAAGCGGTGCACACTTCGGCCTTGGTTGTCTCACCGTCTTCTGCATCCTCATCTTCGTCGGCTTCCTCCTACAAGGTTTGTAGAATCTCGTGTCAAGAAGATCACGCATGCTGTGAACACATCCTTTCCTCCATGTCCTCATCGTCTTCGATTCTCATCTCTTTCACCTGCTCCGGCGTCAAGTGCTCCTTAGCGCATGGTGGACAATGACAAATATGCCGCACGAATTGTGCAGCCCATGACTGCTATTTGGCAGAGGTTCCAAGTCACCATCTTCGTACTTTATTCGGTACAGTCCTCAGAACTGTAGGGACTATCTTGAGAAAATGCATCTGGCAACGTGGAAGCAGTATTGCAACTGCAAAACAAGCATCTTTCGCGGGTGATCTTGCCCTGCTCGATGTCTTCAACGAAACCAGTGAAGGCCTTTCCGTTCACCTCACGCCGGATCTTTGCGTGGCGAAGAGGATCCACCTCGCAAAAGGACAATCTATATGCAGCAGAAGAGTGTACATGCCAGCTAACCTCCTTTTCCGTTTCAGGCAAATCTTCTAGCTCCTCTTCCATCTCTTCTTCTGCCTCACGCTCAGGTGTGGCAACACACATGCGAATGTTCAATCAAAAGCGTATCTGAGAACTGCAGCTTCGGGAACAGGATTCCGCTCCACTGCAGCAGCCATGTCCTCATGCCGTCAACGTGACAAAACAATTCTGCACTGCAAACAAAATCAGCCATCGACAGTCTGCCACAACTTTACAGCCCGTTGTACCACTCATGCAAGTAGGCAGATCATGAATAGGCTTGTTTGAAGGGCACCTGTTTCTGACAATGTGGGCCGCGGTACCAATCTCACTCCTGCTCGAGCCATAAATGGCAGTCGTGCAAGCAAGGCTGCTTCTCTCCTCACACATCCAGCTCAAAGCTAATGCATAATGACCAGAAAACACATTATCATCATCATCATCATCATCATCAACATCATCATCATCATCATCCCAAGCCGCCTGGCTAATCCCAACACAGAAAAGATTCAGACCAAACTCGATACAAGCTAACGCAAAACATGTCTGTTTGTGTTGTTGCACCTGTTTGAGGTATTGCGGTATTGAGTTGTGGCAGCGCCAATAGCTGTCCAGAGGAGTCAACACAATCTGACCTCGGATGGAAAGACTTCAGAAAATGCAGTTGGAAACAGTACTGCGCTGAGATTCCAGAGCAACATGTCAATAGCAACTGACTCCAAGCAAGTCCTCATCGCAAGTGGTGCCTCAACCTGAAGCCCTGCGGGTCCCCAGGACATGTTTGAAGCTCAGGCCATGCTGATGGGACTGGCACAATCTTGGAAGTCATCCAACATGTCTGGCTTTCTGAGATCCTTGCAGCAAACGCAAAAACTGAAAATGCAGCAGGTTACATATTCATAAGCGAAGATGCACATAGCTTTGCATCGATCGCTGGCAGGCAAACAGACTTGAACAACCACACGAAAATGGTCCAACAGGTAGGCATTGTGATCAATGACAAGCTGTCGTGAGCAGACCTGGTCCAAACGTGGTCTGTTTCTGTAACACATTTGTTCATGTTCCACATCAGTACCTACTTCTGACCTTTTACTGCCGGCATGTCCTGGATGAAATCGAAATTGCACGCTTGAACTCTGTGGCTCCTAGGTACACTATGCAAATTCAAGAGTGTGCCCGGAAAGAGCACCCACACTATTGCAGACTTGGAATTGCCAACATTTGCATCTGCATTGCATGCTGTCTTAAACAAAACTTTCACTGTGTCGGGATCCAAGCTTCGTGGACGCACTGCAACAAATCTCCACAGTCTGCCTTCAAAGCGTTGTAGTTTTTCTCGCTTCCCACGCCACTTCAGACATGTAGGAGTAAGCAGGGCCGTTCATGTGACGGCATCAGACTTGATTAGACACATATGACAGATACAAGGGATGCCCAAGAACTTGGGACAGTCCTGGATCCTAGATACTACTCCTGCTGGATAGTCACTCCTCACGTAGTCTCATCAAAACTGTCCGCCGAGCACCACGAGGCAAGCTGCCAAGAGACCCCCGCAGCGCCAGATGAGTTTGGATTGTCGAAACGGCCGCCATCTTCGGGAAGAGTCCGCTGGATGGGACTCCCTCAGGCTGCTGGTCTGCACACATCCAATAATTGACGATTTCGCCGTTGCGGGTTGGACCATTTTCTGGAGCATCCTGCTGGCAATGCACATCAGCCTTGACCTCGTAATTGGCATCTTTGAAGAGCTGCAGATATTCTGCAGGTGTGCAGTCTCGCATGTTACCCCATACCTCGCTCTGGATGAGCCGTGGCCTTTGTTTCAACAGTTCACTGGCGCCACGCCAAACGTGGCATTCAAAGCCTTCCACATCAATCTTCACGAATTTCACAGGCTGGCCAACAAACTTTGTGGTCGACATTTCGTGATCAAGCACCCTCAGATCAAACTCGCCACGGACCTCCAAACTGGGGTCAGAGGTCTTGCCGTCGCAAATCACGTGCCCGTCGCCGACATTTGCTCTGTCTGACATCATCACGCAATGGCTGTCAGCATCGCTCAAGCCGGACACGTGCAAATCAATCTGCGCAGCAACATCTGGGTTGGCACATAGGCTGGCTTGGAAGAGAGCTGCATTAGCCGTCATCGGTTCAAATGTGGTTACGTTCCATCCGGACTTTGCCAATGCGAACGAATAGAAGCCAATGTTGCCACCTATGTCGTAGGCATGTGCAGGTGTACCATACAACTCTGGGCTGTACCCCTCAAACTCGTGTCGTGAAAGAAGGGCATCACTCACAATATCGTTTTTGGCATAAACTGCCATTCGGAATGGCTGCAAACCAGGCAAGTTCACCATTGCCCAGGCACCACCTTGAGGCAGAGGGCACTGCTGGGCGGACCTCTTGCTCTGAAGGAGCGCGCCATCGTCGAAGTCCCCTGCTTCGTCGCCAGCGCACTGAGTTGCTGCCGTGCAAGAAGCCAAGCATACACAAAATAGGCAGCGAAACATGCCTCCACTAAGAAGACTGAAGGAACACATCGAAATTGGGTAGCATTCGGGCAGAAAACCTGTTCGAAACTTGAATCTGAACAAGCCGTTGGAGCATGAAGCGCCTCATCAACAGGAAATTCAGACAATTGTCAAAACCCAGGTTGCATACTGGCCAAACACATTGGGAAGCATGAATACTGTGTAAAGCCGCCCATCATGGGCAAAACTAGGTATAACTGTCTTTACACACAAGATCTGTTAATCTTCCCTCAGCAAGACTACAACCCGTTTGTTGGCAAGGGCAATTTTGGGGGATCCCTAATTGAGAATGTTCCGCTTGCTTCGAATATACAATATGATTTGCCGAAACCTTTTAATTACAAAGCCCAAGCACAGCATTGACGTCATCAAAAACAAGCGACGAATCGTTGCTCGTTGCTGGTCAGGCGGGTCGGCCATTAGGCAGAAAGTTGCGACGTCTGACATCGCGAAACGGTCACGTTCATCATTTTTTGCGGAATTTCAAAGTGCAACATTTTGGGACAAATTGACCAACACAATGATCGAAATGTGGAAGACATTAACTACATGCAAAACTACGCGGAATCATAAACAGACTATGTTTTGTTGTTGCCGGGTGGTTTTCTTGTTTTTCGTGTCATTTTTACCGTATGTGTGTATTGGGTTGTTGCGTTTCTGTTGTTGTCCTCTCCGGGCTGTTCACATGTTTCATGAAGATGCTTGTACAAAATGACAAGTAATCCCAGCAAGTATCCCGAACAGCGGAGAAGACATGTCATGTTCATTATCACAGGTTCCAAGGACTGATGCGTTTTTTTGTTCAAGCCCCTGCGCTGTCTCCATCTTTCCCAGCGCCGGGACACAGCTTTCCCCGGCGCCGGGAAACAGCTTTCCCGGCGCCGGGACACAGCTTCCCTTGGCACCGGGAAAACTTACATATTTTTCTTCGATAGTAAATGAATGTGAGCTTTCCC